TGTGGATAACTGATGAGAGATTAAGCAAGGCTTGCTCACAGTGTAGTAAGAAATGAGCCGTTCCACCCAGAAAATACGGCTTAGTGTGTGCGACTGAAATCATCGCCAGAAAGGATTTGAAGCACATATCGCCAAAGAAATAGAAATGTTACCTGAACAACGTGAATTCATCCAAGAGTGTTTGTGGATCAGCAGCTTGGTCGTCGTCCGCGAGTCTTGATTTCGGGACAACACAATACCCTATGGATGTGTTGCCTTTTGGATTTTCCAAAACTTCGGTCGGTCGCTTTTGCCCTTCAATTGTCTCCTCGCACATTGACGAATGCTGTCTGTCAGCTACAAGGATGAAAGGCACGAAATAACCATTCATCATTCTCCCTGGGTTGCTGCTTTTGAACTTTGATTACGCAGGGATCTTTGAGGCTAAATATTAGAATCGGAGTTATCAGAAACACCTTTTTAACTGGCTAACTGTTGATTACCGCTCCGGAGCAAACGTATAATTCCAAGGGTTCGTCACTGTTTCTTGTACGGAAAGGTGAAACCAGGGTAAGGGTGATCCACAGTTCCTTGTAGCTCTGAATCTACTAGAGGTAGCTCCGCTGACTCTAGTTGCATTCACGATGATTTTTAGGCTCAGACAGTCTGGGTTACCGGTGAGCCGAAGATGCAGGTAGGTAGACTTAGCGCGAATGAAACTGAGTTGGGTATTTGTCTTGGAATATGCACGCGACGCATTGACGATTTTAGCGGAAGCCAAAATAGACTAGGGTGTCGGTAATTACCGCTGGCAAGCATTTTTTGATGGCTTACCAATTGGAACACCTGTGTGGTCTCCGATTTTTCACTCGCGCACTGCCGCTCTGCATTGGGGCAGTTATGTTGGTCTCGATGGCAAAGGGCTGGATGAGAAATGTCGCAGTGTGCCCATAACTCTGTGAAGTTTAGGAGAGAGGCAATGCCAACAGAAGACATAGGAAACCCTCTAGTATTTAGCCAATAGTGCCCTCTGAGTAATGTTAACCTCAGGTGAGTACTTCGGCTCCGAAAATTCGAATACCTTCGAACGTTTTAGCAGAAGAAACGCATATGTGATATGTCGTAAACTGTGCTCTCTAGGTCATAAGCTCTACATGCCAGTGGACCATGTCCCCAGTCGAATAGAAACGGTCTTGGGAAGGTGGGATCATGACTTGATAGCGAAATGGCAGTTAACTTTGAGGCACTTGAAACAACGCCCAAAGAACTACAGCGAATACACCCGACATGCCGTTGGGCAGGCCATTTCTCTGTGTTCTCTTCATACTTGGTTGTGCTGGCAGCCGTCGTATGACCTTATTTATCAATATTTGGTGATGATCAAACCAACAACCATTGTTCATGACACTGGTAGGCATGACCCAGTCCCGCGCCTATCATTGTTTACATCTCCAAGCTGCTTTTAGTCCATAGGCCAAAATCCCTGCCAATCTTCTGCATCAACAGGACGTGTTGTATTCTCTGTGCTGACGTTCTTGGACCTGCATTTTACCGTCTAGTGGTTTTGTCCTCAATATGGCTAGCTCGTTAACACAAAACTTATATTTCGGATCAAAGGATGGGTTGTGTTCATCATCTGTTGCTGGTGACGGTGTTTGTTCCAGATGAACAATTCCAAATGAGCTGCTCCATTAGCATACCACGGGCTTATCGGACAAAGGCACTAGCTTTCTTCCTGAAGTCAAAGCATTCTCTGAGCATGCATAATTACACTTAAGTCTGTTGATGCAAATCAGTTTATGAAATTTCGGTGAACCGCACAAGTAATAGATCTGTGTGAGACTTCATACTTATGAATGCTTCACGAAAGTCCGAGCTGGATCCTTTGGGATAATTGGCTTAATCTAGTCCCCCGTCACTCTCGAAGTTGCTTTAGAGGACCCAATGTTCATGCAACCGCTGAAGAAGTCTCGCGCACTGTGTTCTCGTGTCAGAGATGCTTTCACCAATGTGAAGAGGAAACTGACCGCTTTAAATTGGATTGAACTGAATTACGTGTTCCGTAAAAATAATAATGTGCTTGCATTTCCAGCCCAACACCGCTGCCTTGCGGTTAGGCTTTTGAGCCAAAAGCTTTGGTTGAAAGCCCTAATCGTCCTTCTGCCTAGGTATGGGTGCCCTGACAGTATCCAAGCCCTCGTACAACCATGATATTTACAGTTAACAATACTTTCATGCCCGGGAGCTTCTCCGAGGGAACAATGTACTGCCCACCTGCGGTTACGTAAGTCGATGGTGTGCCGTAAATTCTGGACACATGGTCTCTATCCCAAGGGCGTGTGAACTGTATATCCGTCACCGGTGTCCATGGACCACGAACTCTGTTCTGACCTCTTGTTGTGTGGATCAGATATTTGTCTTCAATCAAAAGCCCCAGATAGGGAACGTCAAGTGAAACCTTTTTTTCTGACGATGACAATTAAGGAGCATCTCTCCTACATGTCAGTGCAGCACTGTATTTCTTTGGTTCGATTCTACCACGTACTCTGACTTGACCGTGGAACACGCCCCTGAAGCACTCTGGATACATTTTTCCTGTCTCCAGCTCCCAGTTACCCAATTTGTGCTCTAGTCTCCACTGTCAACTGTGTCGTCAATGCATATGCTTCCACTGGCAACACTTCTGTTCCGTCGTTGACCGTCCTCAAGGTCTCATTGTAATCCGGAATAACGAGCAAACCAGAGTTCGTGTCTTCGCTCTTCGTTTGGGTTCTAACGTCAGGTTAACAAACGGGAACCGTTCCACACCAAAGAAACTCTTGATTATTTACGCCTGCTGTGTTTCAGAGGCCAGACCTCAGGATCCGAACATTACTCACCCAGCACATCTGGTGTAATTGAACATCCATTCCAGCTCAGTTTGACAACCGTGAACCATGTTCGGGTGACCGCAGCTTATGGCAGCTTATGGTGTAAGCTAAAGGAGTACAAGAGGGACATTTTTGTTACTAAACGTAAACCTGTCTCGCTTCTCCGAAAGTCCTGAGGCGATGACGTCTGTACAGGCTGTTTTTGGAATTATGTTTAGTCCATCTTTTGAATTCTAGCTACAGTTGGCTCAGTGGTTAAGGCACGAACATACTGACCGGAAGTTCAGCGGTTCGAACGCAACTCCAGCACCTCGACTGCTCCTGTCTAGGTTCGGTTAGCCCGATAGCATCTCAGCCCTCATGCTTGCTTCGGATGTCATGGCAATTGGCACCTAATCGGTGTCGATTGGTTTCTTGAATTCCACTGGATCGACTTCACCCAGACTCTTCTTCGAGACTAGTTGAACAACGATGCCTGTTCACTGTCTCTTCTTATACCCATCTATTGGCTTCTGGCTCGAAGTGGCTCAGTGGTTAGAGCGCGAATCTACTGACCGGAAAGTCCGTGGTTCGAACCCGACCTCTGCATTTCAACTGCTCCTGTCTAGGTTTGAGCACCCTGGCAGTATCCCAGCCCTCGTGCTCCACCCGAAGGAAGCATTAAAGCTAGGCAATGAAAGCGTGCTACAGCTGAATGATATTTTCCACCCAAGCAAACATGGCCTCCTACCTCCTGAAGGTTTTAAACCGTCATACTGATAATAATGACCATTAAGGGCGACACCAGAGGAGACTACTGGCGTTGTACCTCCAGTTTATTTGAAGAAGCCTCATGATAAAAAAACGCGGCGGGGAGAGGGACCTAGTGTTAACCTGCAACAAACATCCGAAATGCTTACACCTCTACCGCTCAGCCAGCATGGACGTCACTGACGTCAGTTAGTCACCATATCTGTAACTCTGTCCTTCGAAGCATAGGGGAGGTCATGTAGGTCCCACCTTGGGAGGCAAACAGCACCAAGACTTTTCGTTACACCCCTCACTACCTTCTACGATGTCGTACTCTAGTTTTCCGCTACTCCAAATTAGACACTGAAAGCATCGCTCTTCCCTGCAGACGGTAACTCGGGATACGTAATACATGACTCAGTACCATAATTTTCAGTGCTGGATGAATTCCTTCGGCGAATTAGCTTCTGTTTCAACAAAGACCCGTTTTCTACTAACTTAATTACGAGTTCGAATCATCATCATCACAGTGACAGCAACAGCTTCGCCGGTGTTCACCCATGTCAATTCATGGATGTATGCGAGTTGAGATGCTGCCAAGATGCCCAGACCTGGGCAGGAAGACGATTAGTGTCCTCAGACAAAGCCTTTGGCTCAAGAATTTAACCACAACGCAAGGACGTTCGGTGTAGCATCGACAGAACAATATGTTTTTGGGGAGTCATCATCAGCATCCTTAATGACAGCAACATCAGTGTTGGCACTGATGCTTCACTGCCGTACAACCATAAAGTTCGTTTATATATATACATATATAATTGTATTAAAAGCCCTACAGTGAAGAGAAGAGAAAAAGAGTGGGTGAGAGAGGGGACCTAGTGCTGACCTATGTCAAGCATACTGAGGTGCCTACACCTCCAAC